GGTGGAATGGAAGCAGAGGAGGTCAGAGATATAGCTGGGAGCCCAGCCATGCAATGCTTTAAAAACAAATAATCAAATTCTAAATTTAATTCTGTATTTTACTGGTAAGCAGTGACCTGTCCATGGTGTATCCTGCCTTCCACCCAATGACAGCTGGGATAGGCTCCAGCACCCCACCGTGACCCAGAAGGATAAGCGGTTTAGATGATGGATGGATGGTAAGCAGTGCAATGATCCAAGTACAGGGGTGATGCTCTCCCTTTTCATGGTACGAGTCAGGAGCCTTGCGGCTGCATTTTGAACTAACTGCAGACGTAACAACCCTGACTGACAGATTCCCAAGTACACTGAGTTGCAGTAGTCAATACAAGAGGAAATAAAAGCATGAACAACTGTTTCCAGGTCCCTAACGGACAGAATGCTTTTCATTTTTGCTATATTCCTAAGTTGAAAGAAGCTTCCTCTCACAACAGCGTTTATTTTGCTTCTTCCGAATCAAAGATAATGCCAAGATTTTTTACATGGCTGTGTACATAAGATGATAAAGGCCCCAGATCATTAGCTATAGCTCTGGCCGAATCAGGATTTCCAAAAATAATAACTTCTGTTTTGTCTTGTCTTGAATCAAATCGTGAGGTGCCTAGAGATTCCCACCCCTAGTTTAGGTTAAAAAAGTCCTTAGACATCCAGCAGTTTATATCTCTCAGACAATCAAAAATAAGGTGCAGAGAGACATTTTCACCTGGTTTAATCGGTAGGTAGAGCTGTGTATCATCTGCGTAACAGTGATAGCGGATTTTGTGCTTCTGAAAAATGGACCCAAGATTGAGCGTGTATGAAGAGTGCAGAATAGGGCCCAAAAATCGATCCCTGAGGTACCCCACGAGTAATTGGTGCTGAGGAGGAGGAGAAATGACCCATCTTGACAGAAAATGTTCCTTGTGTTCCAGATAAGAGGCAAACTACATCAGCGCAGTACCCTGGACGCCAACACCACACTTCAGGCGATCCAACAAAATGGTGTGATCGACAGTGTCAAATGCTACACTAAGGTCTAAGAAAATTACAATAGCACACTTTCCAGAACCAGTGGCTAAAAGTAAATCATTAGTTACCTTAAGAAGAGCAGACTCGGTACTGTGGAGTGCTCTCAAACATGACTGAAATGTATCTTGGATATTATGTATGTTTAGAAATGAAGAAAGCTGAAAAAGACAACCTTTTCCAAAACCTTTGACAAGAAAGGTAACTAAGAGATTGGTCTACAATTGTTTAGGACTGATGGATCCAAGCCAGGCTTTTTTAAAAGAGGATGAATGACACTGTGTTTTATGCTAACCGTACACTGGAAGACTTTGAAAAGACTTTTGAAAGACTAAAGTCTGACTCCCTCTCACACCTAAAGACAGTGTCACAGTTTTTAGTCACAGACTATGATTTTGCAAAGACAGGAAATCTTGCAGGGTCACTATTTACAAGACTGCAACTAGATTTTTGAGATCATTCCCCATCATGCACCTGGTGGGAGTTTACAAGCAGATATACTCTTTTCCGTCCACTCTGTAGTGGTACAGATGGGAGAATACGCTGGCTGGGTGTGTAAAGATCTGGGAATCAGTTCACTGTAGGGCTGTATACTCTGGCAGATCATCACCCAGAATCTTTAATTAACCTGTAAAATATGCAGATACGTTTTAAATTTGATATAAAGATTTACACATCAACACAACATTCAGCGATTCAGCATTGTTGACTGGGTGTGATGAACTAAACCATAAAACAAACAGTGTAACAGAAAGCAAACAAAAAAAGGAAAAAAATATCAATGATTCTTCAATAATGCTGTTCTTAAAGTTCTGAAATATTAAAGCAGTTAGTTTACATTTTAAGTTCATATGATTACTGTATTAAAGTGGGTCAGATTTGCCTTTTTACAGAGATTTCAGGCTCTCACACGTGTCTCTCTCTCTCTCTCTCTCTCTCTCTCTCTCTCTCGCCCCCTGCTGTGTCACTATTTGCATGGGCCAAGACTTAAAACTTATGATAATATTAAACACGGTTGATTTTGTCGTAGCGTCAAGACGAGAAAAGGACTGACTTAAGACGCCCGTCCTGACCACCTCACACTAAACGATCGAGATGACGTGAGCACGACACAACTCCAGCAAGACTCTCATGGTTTTATTCATTGAATATTTGTCTGCGGCAGTGAAATCACTTGAAAAGTCATTTGGTGTAAGACTGGCATAAAACAAGAAGAAACTCTGCCGTTGATGAGATTGCTATTTATTATGGACAAAATACTCGGACCAACAGACGGCAGCACATCTTTAAAAACCGGTGTGGGAAGCACATCCAGGGAGCAAGTGGTAGGCCTCATACACATAATTGCATTGCTTAAATCAGACATTGACAGGCTCAACTTACTATGGAAAACAGAACATGTAGGTAAACCAGAGGGGTCAAGGGCCAGAGATGAGATATGTGCTCTTATATTGTCAATTTTGTGGATTAAAAAAACTCATAAAAACTTCACAACTGTCAGCAGTTGCCTCAGGGGTTGATGTAATGGTAGGATGCAGTCCCTTGTTTATTGTATTAAAAAGAACTTTAGGACTGTGGGAATGTTTGGCAATTATGATGGCAAAGTATTGTGATCTATCAGCTTCCACCATGCACTGATAGTTAAAGATTCTCTGAAAATTTGGTAGGAAACTTGAAGCTTGTCTTTTTTGCAGTTCCGTTCTGCCTTCCTGCATTGACGTCTAAGTGCACAAGTGTCATTATTGAGCCATGGCTGAGACTTTATTTTGTGTTTCCTGACTAAGTGGAGCAATTAAATCAATAATATCGTCACAGGTAGAGTTGAACGAGGCAGTCAGCTCATCAATGTTAGTACCTTGAGGAGGACTCTCAATAGTACAAACTAGAGGAGAAATTACATAGGCAGCTGAAAACTGACTGCATGAGGCGTAACAGGGCATGTGCAATATGATGACTGAGTGCGTTTGAAAGAAGAAGATGGGATGGCAACATCAAACAAGGTCTGTGATTGGACAAACACGCATCTGCTATCTCTAAATTGCACACCGGGAAGCCAAATGACAAAACAAGGTCCAAAGTATGTCCAAGCACATGTAGGGCCAGTGACAGACTGAGTCCGATCAAAAGAGTCCATAAGTTGTAAAATTCTCCTACTAAAGGCTTCGACGGGCAGACATTAATGTTAAAATCACCATGAATCAGAACTTTATCAGCGCAAGGTAAAATGACTGTTGAAAGTCAGAAAATTCCTGAAAATCCTGTTTGATTTTAGGGGGTCTGTACACAAGAGCAAAAAGCACAGACCACAACAACTCTGCTTTACACAGCTGCACTTCAAAACTTGAATACTCTCCCACAGTCAACAAGCAGCATTTAAAATGGTCTCTGAAAACTGTTGCAAGGCCTCCTCCTTGGCCAGTGATTCTAGGTGTATTAAAAAAGGTACAGTCACGTGGAGACGATTCCACAAACGGGCTTAAATCACCAGAAATTAACCAGGTTTCAGTAACAGAGAGAAAGTTCAGGCCATGGGAGACGAAGAAATCTCTCAGTATAAAGGTGTTATTCACCAGTGGTCTAGCGTTGACTAACGCTATTTTAACTGGCGCCGGTTTTGAGGCCAGTTGTGAGACCATATTCCAGGTAACGATGGTTACTAAAGTTGATACCGCTACTTCGAGCCCATGGTCTAGCGGGACAGTGGCGAAATGCTGAGCGAATAGATGGAATATGCCCATCCACAGCAACACTGTCAGATACGCAGAAATTGTGACGGGAACCCCGGTGAACGTAGCGTGGGCGTCGGGCTATTCCCATAGCAACACAACGTGCGGAAGTCTGAGGAGGCAGGTGAGCCTTCGAATTAAAGCGCAGCAGTTCCGAATTCGAGTAGTGGGGCATTTCAACGTTTATGTGAAAATATGCGGCAAGCTCGAAATTTCTATGCGAGGCATAGTACAATTCATAAATACATTCAAGCAGGGCTAAAATCACCCAATGCATATTCAGAACACACATCGCTACTTCCCCATTTGCACATAGAGGCAAGTTTAAACCACATATGCCAGCAAACCACTGAATCCACCTTGGAGCCTGTGTCTAGAAAATGTAGTTAAACCACTACCCGTCACCATGAACCACCAGCAACTTGCAAAAGTGGGAGCTTACTCATGACTAATAGCCAAGCAGACATCAGGTGGAACAGGGCAGCAAGCACTCGTGTTAGGCAGGTGACGGTACAGGTAGGTCAGATCAAATTCAGGTGTTGTGAGATCTGATTTAAAAGATTAATCCAGGCTTAATCCAGGTTGTAGCTCTTCTTCCTAGTCTCGAGAAGTAGCATCAGTCCACCAGTAAGCCGTATTAACAAAACAAACAAACACAGGAGAGCAGCGGCAGACAGGCACGCCAGTGTTCGCTCACCTGGAAGTACAACGACAGCAGTGTCTGCTTAGATGTCTGTTTTCCTTTCTCTGTTTTCCTTTCTCTGTTTTCCTGATCTGTCCCTGTAGTTGTCTTTTTTATGTTTATTCCAAGAGGTTTAAATGTTCTTTCTCCTGTTCTCTTTTTCCTGGTTCTCTCCTTTGTTCTGGCTTCTGTCTTCTTCTTTTCTCCTGAGTTTGCCCCGTAACTCTAATAACTTTCTAAATCATATTGTGTTTACTAGTAAGATGTAATTTTACATTGACTGTTTTACATTGACATTGAAGTTTTCTCTAATTTTAAAATGAAAAAATAGCAGAAAATCAAAAGCATGACTGTCTCACATTTTCTCTGTCTCTCACATTTTCTCTCTCTGTCTGTTATTACTTTCCTATTAACTAATTTGACTCCAGTTATCTGTTGTATTTGGTCATTTAATTGTCATACAGTTAACCAGACATAATACAGCCTAATGTACCTGCTGCTTTCTTCATTACGTTACATGATATTATGTTTGTAATCTCTTCCTCTAGTTTCTACTGGAAGCCTGAGCAGAATAGGTGAGTACACCAAGCATGTTCACATCATTTTTAATGTTGTACTGAACATTCAGAGTGAATCCTGATCTGAGCTGAACTGAGTTGGACTCATAAAGGTTCAATGGTTCAGAACAGAGGAATCAAACTGGGTTCCTTCCAGACCACAGCTCTGCAGAGTTTAGTGTTCCTCCTTATTAAACACACCTGATTCACCTGATCAGCTCATTAACAAGTTCTTCATCAGCTGAATTCAGAGAGCTAGAAGATGGAGAACACTGATCTCTGCAGAGCTGAGAGCCTGAAGGAACCCAGTTTATTTGTCTTCTCTCTAGAAAGCTCTAGAACACGTATGTGATACAGACAGTACAGTCAGTCAGTCTGTTTAATCAGGATGTGAGAGATTTAAACAGTCTGTTACTGTATTTCTGACCACAGTATTGTTGTATTATCTTGGTCAGTCTGATACAGACAGTACATTACAGTACAGTCAGTCTGTTTAATCAGGATATAAGATACTTAAACTGTCTGTCTATTCTGAGCCACTGATGACCCCAGGTTGTCACCAGTGCAACACCAGTTCATATTACATCTTTCTTTGATGAATGTTCTGCAGTGTGTGATCAGCATCAGCTAACAGGTTTCTGACTGTGTGATGTCATACAATCTCCCCCTCTGCCAGATTAGATTGTACAATCTGATTAAACTGTCCACTCTGTCAAATAGAATCAAAAGCTTTTTTAAAGTCAACAAAGCCTGCAGATATTTTACTGTTATTGTTCTGTTGGACGTGCAGGTTAGACCACTACCTTTGGAGGTCATTTCTTTCTTAGTCTCAGAAACAGAGCAGCCTAAAGAAGCAGAGCTGTTATGTTTGTCAGATGACTGTCAGGTTTTACTGAAATTCTAATGCTGATCTTTTCTGGTTCAAGTCTTTAGGAGTGGCTCAGTGTGTTTAGAGTAAAGAAAGTAATCCAGAGACAGTTCATACAGACCTAAATGCTCAGGCTCCATTTTACAACGTCTTTGAGTAAGTGTTTGACTACAAAAGAGGTAAATTGAATTAAATCGTCTGATTCTGTACCTCCACATAATAAGCCCCCCACAAATTTTTCAAAGCCTCTTCTCCATTTTGCTGGGTGTATGTAAGCAAAGAAGAATCTGGGGTGGAGACCATTAGATCAGTGTACTAATTCAAATCGTTTTACTTTAATCACTTGTTCTAATCAGTAGACTGTTAAACTTCTTGAAGTTCTTGTAGAGTTTAGAGAGTTCAGTTTCTGTTTATAATTCTCAGTTAAATGTAACTGAGAGAAGCTCCAGTGCAGCGTGATTAACAGCTTTAAAAGATGAACTGGTGTATTAAATAATAAACTATAGACGTGACTGAGAGAAACTCCAGTGACTCACAGCTTCACTGAAATATGGACATACAGGCTGAAGTCTGAGCTGAGGAGAACTGAGTGAAGATTCAGATTTCCAAAACTGAGATAGATGGTACAAAACATTTTTCTCTCTAGAACATGTATGAGAAGTTTCATCCCCACAATGACAAACACATTCTCAACACCCCAAATTCTGTAATACAGATAAAGACAGAGCTCAACATGAGCTTAAACATTAGCACAGGACTAAAATCAGGACTGAAATCTGGATGAATGTTCTGCAGTGTGTGATCAGCATCAGATAACAGGGTTCTGACTGTGTGATGTTGGTTAATGTTTTTCTCTTGTTTATACGGATCTGGAAGCCCCAGTGAGACAGGAAGTCTTAATGTTGAAGCACCGAGCCCCGATGTTGGCGATCATGATGAGTGAGTGCACCGAGGACAAAAATAATCAACACTGCTTTATTATTGAACTGTGAATCTAGATGGTGGAACATTTTTAATTAAACAACTCATAAAGGTTGAACTCAGATTTCCGAACCTGAGATGATCTCAGACTCAGTCACAATGTCTTCTTTGGTAAAAACATATAAGGAGCTTCATCACCACAACAACTAACAAGTCCTCAACACCCCAAATTCTGTAATACAGATAAATACAGAGCTCAACATGAGCTTAAACATTAACACAGGACTAAAATCAGGACTAATATCTGGATGAATGTTCTGCAGTGTGTGATCAGCATCAGATAACAGGGCTCTGACTGTGTGATGTTGATTAAGTCTAACGGGATTGTTTAGTGAACTCAGTTTTCACATTGTAAACTAAGAAATAGCACATATTTTTAAATGTAAAAGACATTTTCAAATCTCTTTTTCCTGTAATTACAGTGGCCTGATACATAACCTGATTGGGGACATAGAGGAGATCCTCACACAGAACCCTCCCAATCTTGGGTGAGTAAACTGAACACATGCACAGCCTCTTCAATGCTGTACTGAACGTTCAGAGTGAATCCTGATCTGAGCTGAACTGAGTTCAGGCTACACGACTCATAAAGGTTCAATGGTTCAGAACAGAGGAATCAAACTGGGTTCCTTCCAGACCACAGCTCTGCAGAGTTTAGTGTTCCTCCTTATTAAACACACCTGATTCACCTGATCAGCTCATCAACAAGTTCTTCATCAGCTGAATTCAGAGAGCTAGAAGATGAAGAACACTGATCTCTGCAGAGCTGAGAGCCTGAAGGAACCCAGTTTATAGAACTTCTTCCCTCTTACTCATGAGGCTCTAGAACACATATAGTCCCCTACACAATAACTGGCACCCCTTGTAAAGATGAGTTAAAAGGGTTAGCAGACATTCTGCTTAATCTTTTACTTAAAAACTGAGAAAAATTCAGCCTTTAACTGTAGTAAATTTATTAGTTAAAAAACAAATCCCTGATTAAGAAATCATTATTTTTTGTTCCAAGAATGTGCCAAAATTACTGGCACTCCTAGAAATTCCTAAAAACAGGATGTAACTGAAGCAGTTTTTCCATTTATGTTTTACTTTTTTAAGTTGATCAGAGTGACAAAGCAGACACAGAGAACATTTTATTACAGGAAACCTGTCAGCTACAACACACGACTGTGTAGACTGCTGGAGAATTACTAAGCTTGTGACAAAACTGTTGAAATGTCACCTATTAAACATGCGTAGTTGAGCTCTTCTACATGATTCAGTTTTACTCAGTGGGTTTAATCAAGGGTGAGACATGGGGTCACGTGGCTTCACAGGTAGCACCGGTGAAGGTGACAAGGTGTTGCTCTTGTGTTTGTTGGTGTGCTTGGTTGCTTTGTGTGTTTTCAGCATCTTATGTCGATTGCTTGTTCATGTACAAGTGACTCAAACTGTTGCATGTTCGTGACGTTATGCCTCAGCTTAAGTCTACCATGTGTTTTTCATCAGAGGACTTTGTTTTGAGGACTGACCACGAACCATGTTTTGTCTCTTCTGTTATATTCTCTGTATGCCAGTAACTGCATATCAGATTCTGATTCTGTCAAGCTGTATAAAGTTGCATTTGATACTACATTGTTAGGACTGGTCAAGTATTGAAGCTTGAAACTTAATTGTTAATTTTCAGCTTGATGTGAAAAAATCTTACAGCTAGTGTTTGATTTGTTCGTGCGACATGTGTCACACAAATGTCCATCGCATTTTTCTAAAGCAGCATTTCCGAACATAGTGTCCAAAGTCTTTTGGTCGCCCCCTAGTCAGTTCACTATGTGCCAAATGCTATATAGGGAACAGCTCTAGTGTGATGAGTCAACAGAAACCAGACGCTCGCAGATGTAAAAGACAATGGCGTTTAATATTACCAGGCAATCAAACTAGAAAAGGGCTGAGCAAAAGACGAAGTCACAAAAACAGGCGAAAGGTTCCAAAACACAGATCAGTCAGAATGGGCAAAAGTACAAAAGGGATGAAGCAAAAAGGCAGAATCGGAATAAACAAAGCAATGGTCAAAACACAGGATAACGGCAGTCAGAATACAAACGCTCAGTAGTTTACAAAGAAACAATACCTCGCACTGGTCCTAACTAAAGCCCGGGCTTATAAAGTAAACTACTCTGTCATATGACCCAACACACAGGTGATACCAGTTAGTATTCGGGAGAGTTGGAGCGCTGATTGGAGCGTGAGTGAGCGTCAGAAGTCACATGAGCCCCCACTGAACTGTGGGCAATGGAATCCGTGTCGAGTCTGAGGGAAGTTGATCAGTAATGTGATCTCCCAGAGGAGTATGAGAGATGAAGTCCGTCTCTTTCTGAGAGTTCGCCGAATGCGTGACATCTAGTCATTCGTCAACATGAGAAAGACAAGAGAACACACAATTCAAATAAGATGAAAGTGTGTTGATCTTCATAAGGGAATGAATATTAAAAACTGCTTCTTGTCTGAACATGCCCATCTCTACAGTTAAGCAATAATTAAAAAGTTCCACTCAACTGGAACGGTGACAAACTCGCCTGAATGAGAACCCAAGTTTATTTTGTCCCCTCACTCAGTGAGAAAGTAAGAGAGGCAAAAATCCCAAGGATTTACAAAAAAGTAGCATCTTGGAGTCACCAAGCCTCAAAACTACCATCAGACGCCACCTCCATGCCAACAGATTATCTGGAAGGCATGCCAGGAAAAAGCCTTTTCTGTCATCTAATCTCAAACGTAAGAGCCTGGAGTTCATTAAACACTGCTGGGACTGGAACCGGTTCTATGGACAGATGAAATGAAAATCATGCTCTCTAGATCAGGACTAAGATCAGGACTGAAATCTGGACTGAAATCAGATAGCAGGTTTCTGACTGTGAGATGCTGATTAAGTTTAACTGTTGATTCTTTAGTAAATTCAAATTTTACACTTTATTCTAAGAAATATCAAGTGTTTGAGACTGAAAGAAATTTCCTAACATCTTTCTCTCGTTCCTTTAATTACAGTGAGCAGATTAGTGACCGGATTAGTCGCATAGAAGGTATCCTCACAGATGACCCTGGTCCTTTGCAGAATCCTGAGTAAGTACACAGAGCATGTGAACAGTGTCTTTAATGTTGTATTAAATGTTCAGAGTGAATCCTGAGCTGGACTGAACTGAGTTCAGGCTACACGACTCATAAAGGTTCAGTGGTTCAGAACAGTTATATATTATATTTGCCATCTAGAAAATAGAGAGGTAGGTGATGGGTTATTGAAATACACTCCACGATTCCATGATCCAAAATTAAACACAGTTTTTATTGTTTTATTGCTCGTTTGCCTTTCTTAACAGCAGCTGGAGCTGAAGGGGTGATCTGAGTGTCTGTAAAGAGTAAACTGTAGATAAATTATACAGACAGTGCAGCTCTGATGTGCACTGAGGAAAACTCACTCTGGTGCTGAATTAGTTCCTCAGAGTGGATCTGAATACGGGTGAAGTGTTTACAGAGCTAAAGAAGAAGTTCAGTAGGTCAGCACCAAATAAGGTGGGTCTGAAAGTGACCTCAGTTTAGCGATGTAGCAATAAGAAGCTTTCAAACTGACCTTTAGTAAATCCACTGGGAGAAATTTTGGTTGTACTGGGCAGGGTTTGGGTTGGACTGGGAGGAGTTTCGGTTGTTGAATGTGTCTTGGAGAAACTAATGCATTTACGCTGCTATAACATGTGACTCAAATGAATCTTTTACCTCCTAAAGTGATTTCAGTGTCTTTGTTAAATTTGTATTTGTAAAAGCATCTTGTGAGCTTTTACACTTGGATTTTAATGTGGTTTGGCCTCATCCAGATATTGTCCTGATACTTAAGATGCATAAAGTGACCGTGTGTAAACAGGGTCCAGTGCTCCAAATCTACCATCAGACGCCACCTCCATGCCAACAGATTATCTGGAAGGCATGTCAGGAAAAAGCCTTTTCTGTCCTCTAACCACAAACATAAGCGCTTGCGCAAACGCTGTAGGGATTTTGCTAAGAACCATATTATGAGGTCAGATTAAATGAAAATTGAGCTGTTTGGCCACAAACACTCGAGATGGGTTTGGCATAATGAGAAGGATGACTACACTGAACAGAAACTGATGCCCACAGTCAAGTATGGTGGAGGGTCTGTGATGTTATGGGGCTGATTTTCCTCTAAAACCCCTGAGAACCTTGTTAGGATACATGGCATCAAGGACTCCACGAAATACCAGGACACTTTCAATCAAAATCTGTCTGCCTCTGCCAAGAAACAAAAAATGGGTCATCACTGGATCTTCCAGCAGGACAGTGATCCAAAACATACGTCCAGACCAACACAAAAATGGTTTACTGAACACAAACTCAAGCTTCTGTCACGGCCATCTCAGTCCGCTGATCTAAACCCCATAGAAAACCTGTGGGGTGAGCTAAAGAGGAGAGTGCGCAAGAGAGAACCTAGAATCCTGGGCAATCTGGAGACACTATGTAAAGAAGAACAGCCTCCAATTCCCTGTTCTGTGTTCTCCAACCTTATAAGATGTTGTAGGACAGGGGTGTCAAACTCAGTCACTAAAAGGGCCCCTTTAAAAATCTAAACAGATTTGTGGGCCGGAGAACATTTATTTCATTTTCTCTTAACATTCTGATACGACCCCAATCAGCCACTAACTGTTCAAAATATGCCAAAACGGCAGCAGCTAAATAAAGGCCCTTATAGTAGACCTTGAAATGGTCCATGAACACTTGAATATTTAAGAGATAACACAAAGACAATAGGCTACATTAGCTCTGCAGGAGTTTTTGAACTTGCCTATTTGCTTGAGCTTCACACCTGGCATCTTTTCTTTTTGTGGTGTAACTCCTGTCCCGTTGATTGCTGTTGGGGGAAGGCAGTCAGAGTGAACATTATGTGGTAGTGCATGCTGGGGATTGTAGTGCAGTGCATTGTGAAACAGGCTAATATGAACAGAAAAATACATTTGCAGGCCAGATTGTGCCGCGGGTCTGACCTTTGACACAAGGGTTAGAGGAAACAGCTAAGTGCTGTTTTATTGGTGAAAGTTGTACAAAGTACTGCTAACACTTTATTTTGAGTGAACCTTTATAGATGATTAATAAACTCTTAACAGATGATCAGTAACACATCAATAACATAACAATAAAGTAGAAGTAGTGCAGAATATGAATGTACTGAGGTAAATATCTTGAAAATGTACTGTTGATACATTAGTTACATTAAGTAGATGTATTGTTGACAATGTATGTTGTATGAAGTAGCCTTAATATGTTACTTCCATTATGGAAAACCCAACCTTACCTAAAACCTAACCCTAACCCTGGCCCTAATCCTAAACCTTACCTTAACTTCCTCCTAAAACCTAAACCTTACCTTAACCTCAACCTAAAACCTAAACCTCACCCTGGCCCTAATCCTAATTCTAACCTCAGCCAAACCCTAATCCAGTGTATCTCCAGGTTCAGGATGGTGTCAGTCTGTCTGTATCAGCTTGTTGAGGATGTTGATGGTCTGTATTAAAGCTGTTAATGGTCAGTTCCTCTCAGTTAAATAACTTCTGACCTGAACTCAAACCACAAATAAAGTGAAAAACTACTGAATTCAGCAGATTATAACCAAATTTATTCACACAGTTAATTAAAAGTCTCCTAATAATCTACTGAATGTATTTACCACCACTACAACATTGATATGTTGTTGATGTGCTACTGAGAGTCTGCTGAGTGTTTATTCCATCCTAAAAAGACCCCTCAAAATCAATAATCACCAAAGTATTAATGCAGCAGTGCCAATAACTGAGGGGTTTTACTATTGAGGATGTTTTATTGTGTGATGCTGATTAAGTCTCACTGAGATTGTTTAGTGAATTCAGTTTTCATGTTGTAAACCAAGAAATACTGAATATGTGTAAATATTAAAGACAACTCTCAATCTCTTTCTCCTGCTCCTATAATTACAGTGTCCTGATTGCACGCATGAGTGACATCATAGAGAGACTTGATCCTATTCCGAAGTGAGTATACTGAGCACATGCACAGCATCAGTGTCTTTACCGCTGTATTGAACATTCAGAGTGAATCCTGATCTGAGCTGAACTGAGTTCAGGCTACACGACTCATAAAGGTTCAGTCGTTCAGAACAGAGGAATCAAACTGGGTTCCTTCCAGACCACAGCTCTGCAGAGTTTAGTGTTCCTCCTCATTAAACACGCCTGATTCACCTGATCAGCTCATTAACAAGTTCTTCATCAGCTGAATTCAGAGAGGTAGAAGATGGAGAACACTGATCTCTGCAGAGCAGAGAGCCCGAAAGAACCCAGTTTATAGAACATCTTCCCTCTAGAACGCTCAAGAACACATACAGTCTCTTTAAAGATCAGTAAAAGAGTTATAAGAATTCACCTTTTTGTAAATTAGCTTAATGTCACACTGAAAACAATAGAAAAATCCATCTTTACTTGAAGTTCATTTTTCAGAGAAAAAAATGCCTCAAACAATAATTATTTATAATAAAGCCACATGTGCCACAATTGCAGATTATGACTGTTAAAGGAGGCAGATTATGCAGACAATGCAGTGCTGATGTGCTCTGAGGAAAATGCACTCTGGTGTTGAGATCACTCCTGAAGTAGTTCTTCAGTACGGGTGGAGTGTTTACAGAACTAAAGGAAAAGTCCAATAGGTCAGCACCAACTAAGGTGGGTCTGAAAGTGACCTTAGTTTAGCTGTAGCAGTTCGAGGTATTCAAACTGATCGTTAGTAAATCCATGTACTGTAGGAACATAAACTGGGACTGTGCATTAGTTCATGTCCTTGGAGGGGTTTTGATTGTACTGGGAGCAGTTTCAGTTGTACTTGGAGGGGATTCAGCTGTACTGGGAGGAGTTAGGGTTGTAAAAGGAGAGGTTTTGGCTGTTGAATTTGTCTTGGAGAGACTGATGCGTTTACACTGCTTAGACCTCCTGAAGTGGTTTGAGTGATGGATTTATAGCTGTTTTAAATGCATCTTGTATGCGTTCACATATGCATGTAAGTGCTGTGTTATTGGCTAAGAGAGGTTCAACAAAGTGTTAAAATGCAGGGGTGCCAATAATTGTGGCACATGTGGTAATTATTTCTTGATATAAGAGATTTATTTATCTCAGAATTCATTTACTTTAGTTAAAGTTTGGATCTTTCTTACTTTTCCATCATGAGATTAAGCTTAATCACCAAAAGATGAATTTCTTATAATCCTTTTTACTCACCTTTATTACCAGGGGTGCCAACATGAGCTTAGACATTAGCACAGGACTAAGATCAGGACTAAAATCTGGATGAATGATCTGCAGTGAGCAGTCAGAATCATATAACACGGTTCTGACTTTGTGATTGTGTGTGACTGTGATGTTGATTAAGTCTAACTGGGATTGTTCAGTGAATTCAATTTTCACACTGTAAACCAGGAAATAGCAAATATTTGAAAATGTAAAAGACACTTACTGATCTCTTTCTCTTGTTCCTGTAGTTACAGTGACCTGGTTACACACCTTCAAATAATCATAAATATAATTCGGTAAGTACAGAATTCTGGGTGAGTAGACTGAGCATGTTTACAGCCTCTTTAATGCTGTACTGAACGTTCAGAGTGAATCCTGAGCTGAGCTGAACTGAACTGAGTTCAGGCTACACGACTCATAAAGGTTCAGTGGTTCAGAATAGAGGAATCAAACTGGGTTCCTTCCAGACCACAGCTCTGCAGAGTTTAGTGTTCCTCCTTATTAAACACACCTGATTCACCTGATCAGCTCATTAACAAGTTCTTCATTACCTTCAGGTTTCTGACTGTGATGTTTATTGTATCTGGAAATGTTTAGTTTAATGATGTCACTTTTGTTTAATTCCATGCTCGCTGTTCAAGTATACAAACTTGATGATGTCATACACTTCACCTCCTACACCTTCTAGAATCTGATTAAACAGTCCAGTGTGCCGAATAGAATCAAAAGCTTTTTTCAAATCAACAAAGCCTGCAGATATTTTACTGTTACTGTTTTACTGGACGTGCTGGTTGATTCGGGTGTGTAGGGTGTAAATATGATTCAAGATTCAAGACTCTTTATTGTCACTGCACAGGGCACAACGAAATTGGGTAGCATAAACAAAAGATTAAACTAGGAATAAAGCAAAAATATAGGCTAATGTAAAATATAAAATCCAAGATATTAAAAGAAAGACTATATAATTTACAATTATTTTAAAAAGTACAAATAGAAAATGGAACTAAAATCATTTAAAATAAAATGATAAAAGTAAAATAAGTAAAATAAAAAGGTGAATATAAAAGGATGTAGCAGCTGTGGTATTGCACATCAGGGTGTTGCACATATGTGAACAGCAGTATTTCTAATTACAGATTTGCTGGTAGACACTATTCCTGTGTTGCTGGTGCCTGGATGGCACTGTACAGTGTCAGCATTGGGCAGTGTTCAGTTCTCTTACTGCACTGGGGTAGATGCTGTTCCTAAGTCTGTTTGTCCGTGATGTGATGGACCTGTAGCGTCTGCCTGATGGTAACAGGTCAAACAGATGATGACCAGGATGAGATGGACTTTCAGGATGTTAGCTGCCCTGCTGAGGCAGCGGGACCTCAAGACCTCCTCCAAGGAGGGCAGCGAGCATGTGAGAGGTTTAAACAGTCTGTTACTGTATTTCTGAACACAGTATTGTTGTATTATCTTGGTCAGTCTGATACAGACAGTACAGTCAGTCAGTCAGTCTGTTTAATCAGGATGTGAGAGGTTTAAACAGTCTGTTACTGTATTTCTGAACACAGTATTGTTGTATTATCTTGGTAAACTGTCTGTCTATTCTGAGCCACTGATGACCCTAGGTTATTAGTCACCAGTGCAAAACCAGTTCATATTACTTCTCTCTTTGATGAATGTTCTGCAGTGTGTGATCACCATCAGCTGACAGGTTTCTGACTGTGTGATGTCATACACTCTCCCCCTCCGTCACACTGTAGAATCTGATTAAACTGTCCACTGTGTCAAATAGAATCAAAAGCTTTTTTAAAGTCAACAAATCGTGCAGATATTTTACTGTTATTGTTCCGTTGGACGTGCAGGTTAGACCACTACCTTTGGAGGTCATTTCTTTCTTAGTCTCAGAAACAGAGCAGCCTAAAGAAGCAGAGCTGTTATGTTTGTCATATGACTGTCAGGTTTTACTGAAATTCTAATGCTGATCTTTTCTGGTTCAAGTCTTTAGGAGTGGCTCAGTGTTTTTAGAGTAAAGAAAGTAATCCAGAGACAGTTCATACAGACCTAAATGCTCAGGCTCGATTTTACAACGTCTTTGAGTAAGTGTTTGACTACAAAAGAGGTAAATTGAATTAAATCGTCTGATTCTGTACCTCCACATAATAAGCCCCCCACAAATTTTTTAAAGCTTCTTCTCCTTTTTCCAGGGTGTATATAAGCAAAGAAGAATCTGGGGTGGAGACCATTAGATCAGTGTACTAATTCAAACCGTTTTACTTTAATCACTTGTTCTAATCAGTAGACTGTTAAACTTCTTGAGGGTTTTTAGGGTTTTAGGGTTCATTCTCTCCCAGAACTGGTTTTGATTAGTGGAGTCTTGAAGTTCTTGTAGAGTTTAGACAGTTGTGCTTTGTGTGGGTCTGTGTTAGTGTCTGTTATATCATAAAAAACAACTTATTCATCAAACCATTTGTTTTTCGGGGGAGATCGCGTCTCTAGAGCTCCCACATAACTCCCTCGTCTTCTGAATTTTTAACAGGTTTAGTGAGCTTCATCATTCATTTATTTATTTTCTTTTCACTCCTGACACCACGTACAATGAATGTAAATAAAAAAGGTTCGGCTCCAGCGGGCAAGCGTTTAAAATCATCCGAATGAAGCAGCGAAGACATGGCAGATCTCCCTTGCCTTAACGAAAGAACAAGGTCAGCTAGAGACTGTTGTGTGTAAGTATGCAGTTCAGGTGGTGATGGCAGATATTACCCAAGCTCTACATTCACTTCACTCTGAGTTCGAGGTACAGATGACAACTGTGTGAAGCCTCAATGAGAAAGTAGACCGCACCCAGTTCTAAACTAGGGGATTAAAACAAGACATTGCTGGATGCACAGCTCACTTGTCTAAACTTCAAACAAAGATGGCGGAGCTAAAGGATAGAGAAAGGCGCTACGTCAGAATAGTTGGGCCAGCACCAAGCCATGAAGGCGATGTCCCAGGTGGATTTCTGCAAAAAAATGCTGCCTATTTGGATCCCCTCTCTCAACAAAGATGCTACTGAGATTGAACGAGCGCATCGGATTTATAACCGGCAGCAAGGCTCGAGTCCCGACATTTCCTGCCCCATGATTTTTAAGGTGCTGAGGTACAAAGATCCACAAGCCATATTAAACGGGGCCAGAGAGGTAAGCAAGAGAGGAGCCATCGAGGACTCCGGAAAAACACTGACTTTCTCCGCCGACTACAGCGCCTCTACCTCACAGAGACGGAGGGCTTTCGCGGCTACACAGAAGGAACTTCGTGCCATGGGTATTTCATCATTTCTCATCTACCTGGCTACACTGCACGTCACTCACAACAGTGAGAAGCTGAGTTTTACATTGGTTGAAGCAGAAAACTTCCGACTACAACTGAGCAACAATTCAAAAGCACGTCGACAACTGAACTTCGCTGATGAAAGTTAGTAGGAGAGAGATTCGAAGGACCTTGATGGGTTTGAAAGGAGTGACCCGACTAGCCACTGGTAGGACTGACTGGTTGAGGGGAAAGATAAGTAGCGTTGGAACGCTCTCTCAGTGGAGCTTAAAGTTTTGAAGACTTCTTAGTTGTAGTTTCAATGCACATTTTGTTCAGCTGCATAGCATTCTTTTAGCTGGACAAATCTCTTGAAGACTGAACTTTTTAAGTTGTAGCCTGAGTATGCGATTAGCCTCATAGCGCTATTTCAGGATTCACCTTTGAAGTCGAACGAAACAAGTTACAGTCAGTGTAAGATGTATAATGTGTAGCCTACCAGACACTATTTTTTGTATTTTTTTTTGTTTGTATGTGATCATTCGACATCTTGAGCCTGATAGTTGAGAAAAATATGACTATTGAGGTTATCTAATTTCATTTTTGATGTTTTATTTAACGGCCAACCTGAGCATTTAATGATATCTGTAATTGTTGAGGGGGGGATATGGAGTTCTTGGATATCTTAAGCTGCGTTTGACTCTCCCTGTCATGGTTCCTAAAAACATGTTTGGGGAATACTGGTCCAGGGGAGTGGGGAGGGAAAGATTCTATACGTACCAGTGTTTACTTAACCAATGTAGTTGACAAAGTACTTCTTAGTCTTATCCAGAGTGAATTTTTGATAATCAGTTTGATGTTAGCTGTATTTATTCCAAATCTTTTCATTGACAATGGCTAAGGTATCAGTCTTATCCATTAACATTAGAGGGCTACATAATCTTACTGAGAACTAAGCTTTTAGATAGTCTACACAGGTGGAATATAGATATTGCAATGATACAAGAATCACGTTTACGTATAGCTGACATTCCCAAATATAGAATAAATTTTATAAAGCTGTTGCTGCTTCTAGTGATGGCACAAAAAGTAAGGGATCTCTTATTCTAATCAAACACAACCTCCCCATTTCATTATCGAAAGGACAAGTAATGATATGTCAGGGAGATTAAGTTATTTTTGTGCAAATATACAAGGTAAAAAAATTGCCTTTGTTTCAGTATATGCACCAGCAATGTTGGATGTACATTTTTTCCCATAGCTGACAAAGAGGTTATTATCACTGAATGAATATTCCTTGATTATTGGGGGTGACATGAATGCAACCGCTGTCTTAGCTGCTGACAAATCAACAAAGTCATTTTCTAAATTGCAAGAAATTATGTCAGAACATTTCAATGATTTTATACAATCACTAAATCTTATAGACTTATGGCATCTGCAAAATTTACATTACTACACCTTTTTTTCTTCAAGGCACCAAGTGTATTCTAGGATACATTATACTTTATGTTCACAAGGTCTTTGTCTGTGTGTTCACAGACAATCAAGATGTTACCTGCAGTACTATCTGATCACAACTCATTGCTGACCAAATTTACGTACAGACCGCAAAATAATAGAAGTCCTCTGTGGCAGTTCAACACATCTTTGCTGCAGAATTCTGAATTTCGAACAGAATTTAGAAACAAACTCGTAGAATTTCTGGCTATTAATGTCACTGGTGTAGAAAATGCCATTATGGTGTGGATGGCTACAAAAGGTTTCATAAGAAATTTTATTACTTCATTCGCCTCCTATGTACACAAAACAAGAAAATCCAAAATTGTTGAATTAGAACGTCTTTGTCAATCTCGAGAGCAAGCCCTCAAAAATAAATACTCAGCAACTGTTGAAAAAGAACTGAAAATTGCCAGAGCTGAATTAAATGACCTGTGATGTAGAACAGAATTCATCTCGCATAGAGTAAGGCAGAAATATTATTTTAGTGGATCTAGGCCAAGTAAAATACTTGCACTGA